TTTTTTAATTATGCACAAAGCTACACAAGGGCTATCTGTGCTCTGCCCACCACGGGTATCGAAACCCGGTTTCTAGCGTTGTAAGTCCGCAGACATACCGCTGTGCCACTGGGGGGCTCATAACTATATTCAAATTCGGTCTAAATTAGCAAAAATCACAATTTGCTGACGAAAAAAAACCTCACCAAATCTGAATATCACACAATTAATTTTGCATTTTAGTACCAATATTCTCTAATATCGTGGTTGTCATCCTGCGGTGTGCGAACCCCCTAGGTATCTATAAATATGGATAGCATGCTCAAAAGGTGGCCCATATTATAGCTAGAAACGATGCAACGTTCGATTAAATCAGAATAATGCTTAACATGAAAATGTTAATAAGTGACATATTTATGTTACTATCTCTTTTAATTTTATAAACTGCAGGACCGGGTTCCCTATCCGAGTCGGGGGGGGGGGTTACGCGAGATTGTCTTTGGTTCATGAGAATCACTACTTAAATACACTGCTTCAATAGGCTGTGTTCATGTTTGCCTTGAACTATAATTTTGTTTTGCAGATAACCGATACAGAAAAAAAAAACGTTAAAAAAGGATTTCCTGGTATGTAAACTATAATGACTCTTTGTGTTGGAAGAAACGTAAACTAAAACCACACACACAAATGCTTATATATTTAGCAAGACATTAATGGAGAGAGAAGGGGGGGGGGGTTATCAGGCCAAATGTATACCTTTCCTTGTAGGGAGCTGTACTCACAAGACGTCGTTCGCTTTAAGGGAAAGCCATGTTAAATAGGAAAAATAAAACTGCTACCACCAAATACGTGACACCAGACGCACGTTTAACATATAAAATCAGATTACACAAGTGTTAATATTCGATGTTGAATGGGGATTTCTTTCATAACAAAACACGATTTTACAATGCTGATAAATTTTCAGTGACATAATAAAAATTAACATATTTATAAGAATATAACTATAGTTAAGGGTTACACATGAAAAAAACAAACATAAATTAAACCATATATATATCTAAGAGTTTGAGAACATCAACGTATAATAATATAAATCAATCATGTTTCAGATATAAACTAATGTTTTTCTGTTCCTTAAGTACTTTACTTCCTGTTGAAAAACTTTGATTTGATGCAATTACGACATTAACGAGTTTTACTTTATATCATTAAATTCTATGTTTGACCGCCAATCCACAAATATTAATACGGTCCTGCCATCTGGTTATTTAGTTCCGGAGCTGCAGGTGAAGGAAGTGGTGGGGCCTCAACATCTGATTTTGGCATATACACCCAGGAAACATAAATATATTCATGGAACCAAAAACACCGAACCAAAGCTATGAGATTTTTCCCAAACGGTTTGAACGTCACTGGTCCAAACACGTGTGTCAGTGTGACATGCACAATGTATATGTGCGTGTGATCTGTTCATTCAGACAAACTAGATCTTACAATACCATCTACCACGTGACCATCACAACAGTAGAGAAACAAGGTAGGGGGAGTAAAGGGGGAGGCCGGAAGTCCATGTGTAAGCTACAGGCACGGCTGCCGGAAGGAAGCCTACTTCCCGTCCCGTTAACCAACACATGGGGTGGATGTTTAGCCAAACCGTATCAGCAGGATACGAAAGTGGACACAAAAACCTTTTGTTTGGCCTTCTGCTATAGCTGTCCGGTCTGAAAGCCAGAAAAATCACAGCCGGTCTACAACTACATACAAATTTCTGGATTTCTATAGGGTCACCAGACAAAACAGGTCTACACAGTCCTTCCAGACTACTGTATATGAATCCGCCACGTAGTTATATCATCAGACGTTTATAATGATATCTTTTCACCCTTCCAGATACTTCCTGGAAGTTCCTAATACAGTGAGTAGTCAACTGGAACTCCTTCTCACGATGGATATCTCGTGAAATTAATGTACACATCTTACAATCTCTCTCTCACGTACACTATATAGCGTGACCTGCTAATAAATTAAATCATTGTTTATAACTCCAAAGCTTTCACACACACACAAATGCATATATTGTAGTAGGTTATTATTATTGGAAAATAGTTTTAGTAATTGTTTATTTGACAATTACGAGGTATGTTTCTAGCCCTTAACTTTGTATTCAAGCTACTTCCTCTACTTACACACAACACACATAGTGGGATTCAGAAGGTTTAGAATTTGAATATCAGTTTAACTATAACAGTCCTTTTCAATAAGAACTGACTAATAAAAATATAAACATCTAAAAATTATTGGCATTATTATTAACTATCTTGAATCAGCTAAAAGTTTACATCACTTTAATATAAAAACACAATTAATAAATTATTGATAAATTCGGATAAAAAATGAACTAAATGACTGAAGCTAAGAGATATATATATATATAATAAATAGAACGCAGTGAATCATCAGTTCTGCATTCTCGCTAATATTGATATTTTCGACAGTAATCCCGATAATACCACAGAACGAGACTTGGGTTAGCCCCACATCCATATACTAAGCTTACAATAGAAACTAATATTCATAAGTGTAAAAGATTAATAATAATAATACTTCAAAATGTGTTCAACACATACAACCAATAATATTAATGTGACTAAATTCAAAGAAAATGAAGTATTTTATTTCTTACAGTATTTCCACTAGTATACATCGATAATTTGTTTAAATATAGCAAAGCTATTATGATTTGTTTGAGCGCAAAACTGCATAATGGGACATCTGCGCTTTTCAAACCATAGGAATCAAACCTCCGTACCTTAGTGTTATATGCCCTCAAACTTAGCGCTGAACCAAAGTTCCACAATAATGTTATCTCTTTGTTAAACCATAAAAAATAACTTCAGCCGAGTATAATATTTTAAATAGTTTATCACATAGATTATTAAACAATATTTATTAATTTGAAAAATATCGAAAACTCCAAAGGAGAAATTGAGGCTAAATACAGGGTGGTCCAAAATTATTTCTCGTATTTTAAAATTTAATAATTAAATAACTAAAGAAATACAATCATGCAATTTTTAACATCTTGTAGCCCAACTCTAACAGTTTTTATTGACATGTAAGTAGACTGTTACTTATACACCATTAGTGGCTATCAGCACGTCTAACTGATATTCGATTTTTGTCTACGTTCGCTGCAACATGTTCACAGTCACAGTGGCGATGGTGTCCGCTATCCTGGTCTTTAGTTCTATGACGTTTGCTATAGGTGTGCGATACACGATGGCCTTAACATACCCCCAAAGAAAGAAGTCCAGTAGAGTGATGTCTGGCGAACGCGGAGGCCTAGGAATTGGCCAACCCCCTGACCAATCCATCGCATTGAGCCTCTTTTTGTATGGTTGCCATTTTACTGGGTAACACTACCCACTAGAGAGGGGGAAGAAGACAACAACAAAAACATGACGATAAAAGCTGTTTCAGTTGGGCTACAAGATGTTGAAACTGCATGGTTGCATTTCTTTAGTTATTTAATTATTAAATTTCAAAATAGGAAAGATAACACTGTAATAATACTCCATAAAGCATTTACGGCTGTCATCAATGAAAAAATCAACCAATTATACGACGCACATTTACGTCTAAACAATAGGTTTTAAAAGGGAGAAATTTATAAACAATATTTTGTATTTCATAATGTCTAAACGTTTCAAGTATAGTTATTAACAATGTTTACAAGCTTGAATGCACCATCCTATTAACTTTTAACTCATGAGTTACTTTAATTTCCAACCTCCAACTCTGTGTGATTCCAAAAGAGTTGAACTCTCATTACTCGAACAGGAACTGGTGTGTTACACGTTCTTTTGGGATCATAATGCGCATAATCGTTGTCATCACCTCCCGTTTTTTGTTTATACATTCTATTAAATATGAAGATAAAGTATATACCCCCCCCCCCCAATGTGCAACGTAAACGATAAAAACAAATAAATTAGGTATATATTGTGATTGATATGATTCTACGGTTGGTTTAAAGTTACACTAGTAATTAAACACATTTCGTTAAATATACAAAAATGCAACTTATGAAAAAGTTTAACTGTATTTGTCTGGTTATTTTCGAAGTTATGTATTGATAGCACAAAATGGGTTAGTGACAAAGAAGCCCGACTCCTTTTTAAAAAAACGCGTAAGGATGTAGATAATTTTACACCTTACAATCTGTTAGTTATATAGTACAAAATATAACTAATATTAAAAAAAACAGGCATGCAGATATTTTTTGTTGGAATGTTTGCTTAGAAATTGAATCAGCGCCATCTAGTAGGCACAATTAATATTCATTATTGTCTAAAGTTTGTAAACTTAAAAAGTTTCTAAAAATATTAGAAGTTAAAATCACGCAAGACAGACTATAAAACTTATTACTGACTGCTGCTTACGCACAGGGTAGGCCATTACGACCTCCTCCACAAATAACTGAAAAGTAAAACAAGAAATCTTTCTCAAGATGTAAAGTAAGAAAAAATACAAAATTATTATTGTGTTAGAACCTCACAGCTTCTCTTTAACTACAAAATCTACACTGGAACATCATAGCATATCATATATTACTAGCTTTCATCATGCTGATACACACACATATATATATAAAACACTGCACAATACCTAAAATTCTAGCCAATCAGGTAACAATACATTGTATGTGAAACGTGACTAACAGGTCTTATTGTTTGCAATAACAAATTTGTTGCATGTATCCTTTACTAACTGAAATCACGTGTCTTAATTTATATGGTGTTGAAAATAAGTCTGACAAAGATCTATATGGACCGAATCGTTTCACAATATTCTCCACGTTAAATCAATTATTCTTATATTTTGTAGCAAATTTGATAGCTTACATATTTAATTATAAATATGGCATATATCACAAAACATAATATTGTAATAAATAAAATATGAAAATAAAAATATAACGTTTACATTTATAAAAAAAAAAAAAAATTTTCGCTTACCCTTATTCCATAGCATATACCGCCATCTCTAATTTCTTGATCTGGATGGAGCCAGCCTCGGGGAGGTTTGTTGATAAAATTGTCGGCACCACCGCTACTTGGATTCACACCACCGGCGGAACTCGTACCACCTCCGCCTGCCCAGTGGATCCTCACGCGGCTCATGTTGTCGATCCTATGACCGGGCGGATCAGAGACTTGGGACAATGACCTGGGGAACCGAGTGTAGCGGTCCGCAAGTTCTGGCCCCTGGTGCGCCGAAATGAGCCCCGCTGCCTTACGAAGGGCCTCCTGCTTTTCAATATGTCTTGTGTTCTTCGGTTTGAAAGTGAGCAAGAACTGTGAAGACGCTGGTGAGGGCTTAGGTCTTGGCAAGGTAGCGGCTGTGTCCGTCTTTCGAAACGTCCGCACCGACGGTTTACCTATGGACACATGACAATAATCATCTTCTTGTAAGTTATGATAAGCGAAGGGAAAACACTTCAACATTGTCACCAGCACACACTTAAAACACGAAATTTAGAAGACAACAAGGGCAAGTAACCCTAAGATGTCGACCACCATCAAGTGGCCGATCATCATAACGTCAACTACAACTAGTTCGCAAGGTCGACTCAAGGAAAAACGCAGAAACACATCAGTGCAGATGTAGTTCTATCCATTCAGGTTCCCGTAACCTAGACAACGGGAATAGAGACTGCAGCAGAGTGGACGCCCACGCTCTCTGTAGTCAGTCTAAATCTGAATGAACGCGGCTCGCGACGCCTATTGGGACAGGAAGTGAACTGCTCGAGTTCGTGGCTGTGGCGCGTAATGACGCTGGAGCAAGGGCATGCACGGAAAGTGGCCCGCTATTTCACACCAAATTGTATCACTCTACATACATCTACTGCGCACAGTGCGAGACATATGTCACAGTTTTGCAGGATGTAAGTAAATGAACCATTTCCTACATCTATAGGTTGGGTGTGTCAATAGATACTGAACACGAAGGAAGGATCGTTGTGGGAAAGTGACGAGCAGTTTTAGTGTGCGGTATCATTTTACACCACTACCAATGTTCGCGCTTTCTATAAAGGCATGCCTTATAAACAAAAGCTTTGGAACACAGTCAATACAATTTAATCTTTTATATAAACAATGAGATATGCATGACAGTTTGCGATTTCTGCAACTTCAAAAGAAGAAAACACATACAAATGAAAGTTAACGTCCACGAGATTGTCGCTATCTGCCGGCCGTATCGTATGTTAAAAAACAACAACAGGTATTACGTACAAAGTAGGTTTTGTTACCGTTGGTAATAGTTTTCGTGTTCATCTATATCTTTCTTTAGGCATACCTAACAAGCGAATCAAATTTATTTCAATACGATGAAATTAGGGGGAAAATGCGTGGGTAATACGTCCTGTCCAGTTTATGCATTTTGCTTCGAGTAATTAGAAATACAAAAGCACATATTGAAGTTATATTATATATATTTACACACACACATATTAACTTCAAGTTTAACCATTTTCAAACGTTTGATATTCTATATACACATGTAGTTACATAGGGTGGATCAGGGGTTTAAAAGTGAGCAGGTTATTTTGTGCTCGATGAATTATTATTTCAAAAGAAAACAAAATTGCGCTAACATCTTACGTGATATACATATCAATGTATTTTACGCCGCAGTGATGGGCCAATTTTAAGCCTGTATGCGCTTTGGGTACACATAACATTTCATTTTAAAGTGTGTGTATAATCTTTTCTATATATTTATACACCGATCTACCTATTTTCAACATACGACCCACTACCAAATCATACACTTCTATGAAAACAAAGTCAACTTTACGCACTAGCATAAGTATGTCTTTGTCCCAGATTTTTTGTTGTCGATAATTTTACTTTTCATGTAACCTATCCCATATTTATGCTAGTAACAGGAATCAACTAAACATAATTATGTCTTTTGGCCCTACGTTTATCAAAATACATCTGACCTTGCTTAACAGTATGTGTAACTTTTTTTTTGCGTTACAACGTTGTCTCGAACGCTACAGAGGTATTTTTCTCGAGGCTAAATATAGTAATATTTTCTTTTTTTTTTTTGGACCGGAAGTCGGTGAGAGAAGTGCTGACCTCTACTTCTCTAGATATACTGTTTAGTAAAAATTACAGCAGCGTGTATATGTAATAAGCAGTCCTTAACAGTACCTACTAACAACAACAACAACATCCGTACTTTCCCGAAAATTTATATATTTACGTTACGCTTGAGTTGCGTCTTGTAAAGGAGCAAAGCAAGAAATAAAATCTTTTAAGTTTAATACGTTACGAACATTAACTGTCACATGTTGTGTGTGTTCGCAGTACATATTTATCACTCGCTCTTAACGTGTCTCATCTACGGAAATACTTTGTTTTTTATCTACTTAAGTAGGTACTCAACATGATGGAAAACTACATGTTGAGGAAGTATGCCTCGTTTGTGAAGAGACGACGACTCGCTACGAATTAAACGGTGTCGGTCACTCTTCTGCCATGCATGGCCAGACAAAATCTCACTTTTTAATTACACAAAATTGAGCTACACTATTTAAGATTAAAAACAACACAACAAGGAGACAGCAACAATATATTTATGTAGCTCTAACGTACTGGTAGCGGTCTCGGTTTCCGTTGATAATATTTCATTCTTTTTTTCATTTGTGTTCAAACTTCTACGCATCTAATGCAAATAGATTCGGTTAAAATAACATTCATGTAGCTCTCGAAAAGTTTCTTTTTTGTTTGTTTGTAACCACAAGGCAAAAAAAATTATCATAATAAATCAAAATATGTACAAGTACACACAATGTCAACCACACATACAAACCGGAGTAAACCAGATGTGACATAATTGCCAATTGTACTGTGAAGTTATATCAATAAATTTATTTTTATAAGTTGAAAAGAGCTTCATCAATATGTTCGGCTATAAATATACACGTTTCATGATTAATATAAAAATTATATCGTCTATCCATAACAAAGGTTGGTTTGTTTGTTAAAAATCGCGCAAAGCTATTCGAGGGCTACCTGCGTTAGCCTTCTCTAATTTAAAAGTGATAGATTAGAGGGAAGGCAACTAGTCAACACTACCCACCGACAACTCATCGGCTACTCTTTTACCAACGAAATGTGGGATTGGTCGTACATTATAACGACCCACGACTGAAAGGTCGAGTATGTTCGGTAACGGGATTCGAACTCGAGACCCGCAGATAGCGAGTCGAGCTCCCTAACCATCAGGCTCTCCATAATAATTGTCAGCGTTTTCTTTAAACTGGATTTATTTTTCGGAACTTTTCCCAATTACCGTGTGTGCTACCCTACCATATATTATAGTACCTGTTCACGATCTAAAAGTGCATTACACGATAGGGCCCTTGTCAATAACTTGTGATCAAAGTAAGCCACCTACACGTACAGATCGGAACTAAAAATTACAAAATTATTTTTATATTCCTGTCTAACCAATAGAAGCGAGCAAAGTCACAAAACAATTTTAATGAAGATTAGAATGGATCTGGATCCACCAGTTGGGTACCCTCGCTGTTAACGATGATTACCGCCCCACCTGATTTTAAGAAGAAAAATAAGTGTTCGTTTGTCATATGTATAACCAAATATGACTCAGAAACACTGACACAAGAAGATCAACACACAAATGTTGCACTAGTAGATATCCCGTGTAGTTATAAAATCCTAGCGTACACACACAGCTGTGGATAACAATATACATGAAACGTCATTCGTAGTCGTCGCTGACCTGGTTAGTTTGATGTATACTAAATGTGATAAGCGTTGCAGTTAGCACATGTAGGTTATATCTGTTAAAAATGGATCGCTCGTGGGAAGAGTACGTCATTATTAACTTTTACGAATTCAGTTACTTTAAACCGTTGAAGCATACTATTGTGATTATAATAAAATTAAACTTCTTGGGAAAATGTGAACATTTAAACCTAAAAACTACAAAAACACTGTGTAAAAGAATACGATGATGTCAGTTGCAGATCAGCTTTTTATACGCTTTTTATTTATTTTTCTATACTTGTTATAAGCGCCACATTGCTTATGGAGAAAACACGTTAAAATTTCTGCGAGACTACTTGAGTATATTAGAAAACCAGAAAGTCCTATTTTAAGAAGTTCTTATAAAGGGTGGTCCAAAATTTTCTCTCCTATTTGAAAATTTAACAATTAAACAACTAAAGAAATACAATCATGCAATTTTCAATATTTTGTAGTCCAACTCAAACAGTTTTTATTGACGTCAGACTGCTACGTGTGCACCATTAGTGGCTCTCATCACGTCTAACTGATATTCGATTTCAATTCACGTTCGCTGCAACATGTCCACAGTTACAGTGCCCGCTGTCCTGGTCTTTGGCTCCGTGATGTTTGCTATAAGTGTGCGATACACGATGCCCTTAACATACCTACTAAGAAAGAAATCTAGTGGAGTGATGTTTGGCGAACGTGGAGGTCACGGAATTGGCCCCGACCAATCCATCGCATTGAGCCTTTTCCTGTACGATTGCCACTTTACGGATCAACACTACTCACTGAAGTGAAAAAAAAAGGACAAAAAACACGACATTAGACACTGAGTTAGGCTACAAGGTGTTGAACACCGCATGGTTCCATTTCTTGAGTTATTTAATTATTAAATTTTAAAATAGGAATGATAATTTTGGATCATCCTGCACATTCAGTAGTGTTTTATTCTTAAATGAAATGAATAATTTTTATTAACCGTCTGTATGAGTGACTGAAATGCTAAATTCGTGAAAACAGATGTGTGGAAAAGGAAATCAGATAAAGTCGGATGAGATGATGCAATATCAGTCTCAGCTATTACATTGATCTGTTGTTAGAGGTAGACGCTCTCGGACTGTACGACTGGTTGCAGCTTTGTGTTCGAAAACCTAAAGACTAGTTGAACCAGTCGTTCAGAGATCTTTTGATACACGTCATTTAAAAAAGTTAAAAAAAACAACAAGAACTACAACATTCCACTGTCGTGTATGTGCACATAAAAAAAGAAGTATCACAATTATCCCTTAATCAAACAGACACGCAAAAAAAAAAAAAACGGTAGTAAAACCACTGTCTAGAGTGAGCCTAATGAAGTGTTTACCCGAAAAGTCGCAATAAATATGTTGGACGTAGATTTGATTTGATTTTTGTATGGGTGTATGTGAATGAAATATCTTCACAACGCAGATCGGGCGTTCAAGTGATTAAAATACTTTGTTAAGGTTTACAACTAGACACAAGTATACATTTATTTAATTAAAATAATCCAAGGCTTTCAACAACCTTAAAATAGCATTTATTGCAAGCTTAAATCATTGATTAAACCGACCTACTTAACGACTTAGAAGAGAAAAGGAACTGCAAACTACCTTGACGTCTTTTTTTATCCATATATTTCGTGTGTAAGTTGGGTAAATTCCGAGAAGTTATTACATTTACACGGTGAACATGCGTCTGTATACCAACCTTTCTTCTGAAGCTTTCAACCATAACGAATAGTTAAACCTCAACTAACTGCACACAATGTGTTCTAACTCTTCTTAGGCTGTATTTCATTACCTAGCGAATTGAGTTTAGCAATAATTCTTCTAAATCCGTTCAAAGATAACAAGGAAGAACAACCAAAATTTTGACACAAATTTCATTTTAAAAAAATAAACCACCAACAAATGTAATTCAAACAAACAGTC